CCCAGGACCGTCAAAATACTGATCCGGGTCCGTTTACTCAAAACGTTGACCGAAGTCAACTCAAATGAGCTTTAAAGCATGATTTCACATTTTTATCAATTTTTCACATAAAAACCTTCAGAAAAAAGATACAGAGTGCACACGTAAATCGAGGAAAGCTAAAACGGAGCTAATCAAGGTTTCAAAACATAGAATTGAGGACTAAAACTGGAAATGACCTACCGGATCATTACATGTGATCTCATAATTTCCGTCAGTACTTAGTATTAATTTGCATACACAGCTTGTATGGAATATCGGCTTTACTCAATTAGGAAAAACAAGTCTAAAAACACACGCAATAACTTTCTCAACAATACAGAAAACTAAGCACGTCTGTAGTTAGTTGTGCATATATATTAGAGCATCTAGTACAAAATCAAATTCAAAACAAACACAAGTTCAATCCATAGGCTAGAAAGATAATGTAACTAGAACAAGTCGAGTATCATATCAGGTTAGGGAAAAAAATTGTATTTTAACATAAGAAAAAAAATTAATTTAGTGATAAAGGAGAATTAAAAATTACCTTGGATCAAGTTCAAATCCAACGTGTGACGCTCTAGTATTTTTTAAAATACGATTGTAATATGAATTTCTAGCTTCACTACCAATTACATTCAGGGATATTATATATACCCACTAGCAAAACGAAATATTGAAGCCTATTATACCCAAACAAAAGGAAAAACAATACAAGCTAGTATGTACAATCATACTTTTTTTTTTTCTTTCAACCAAACTAGCTTATAGCTTTGTGCCAATTATAAATGTTCTCTGGTTTAGCAAAAAAAAAAATTTAAATTATCGGTCAGTTTTTACACTTCTCATGTAAGATATCACTAATAAAATGTCTAATATTATCAAAAATATAGTTGGATATATACAAATGCAATTCAATAATTGAAGGGCATATAAGGAACTATCACTATCAAGGATACTAAACCACATTTGTAATGTGTTCTTTAAAAAGACAAAATAATTGATGAATAAAAACATTTTATAGGGGACCATAGCTCTTTTACTTTTGGTAGTTTCCTTTTTTATTTTTCTATTACACTAAGTATTATTTTTCCTTCTGTCTTTTTCTTTAATTATTTTTTAATGCAGCGTATACATCTTTATTCTGAATTATATACATAATTTAAAATCCTCATACTCTCACAAGTTCATGCATACCAAAATTTTCTAAATCTAAGGTAGGGCTGCTTATCGGGCGGATTGGACGGTTAATTACTCTTAACGGTTTGACTTAACGGTTATCGGCTTTTAAATGCACTAATTCGTTAGCCACCCGATAAGATATCGGGCGGATTGGTATCGGTTTAGCTCTTATCGGGCGGTTATTGGGCGGTTTATCGGCCTATCATACATATTCACAAATCGAAATTACACCAGACATACATATCAACATATTCTTACCTATCCTCTGTTTTTGTTGTCCCGTTGTATATCCAGATCCTAGAGCAGTTTCAGCCACACATCCTTCACTTTACCGGGCTCAAGGTCTTTCAAATCTATTCGAGCACAACCAATGAATTCAGCAGCCTGAATCCCTTCTTCATCATAAACTATAATTGTTAAATGTTGAGTGGATATGTCTTCAACTATGAACTCAAAGTGCTCATTCCAGATCAGATTTAAACAGTTATCCTTAACAAAGGAAACAAAATCTGGCGTTATACATTCCTCATCAGGAGATAAATAAATTAAGAAGGACAATAATAGATGGAAGTTCTCTTACAATAACTTTGCTGGTCTTTGTCCTATCGCGTAGTGGACGTATAAACAACTCAACAAAAGGATCAGACTTCTCAATGATGTCTTTATTAGTCAACTCTTTGGCTTCGATGAGCTTGACTTATAATATACCAACTGGCTTTAGCTCCAGGTCACTGCAAGTAACGTTAGTCCTAGACACTAGACAGACAAAGTACTGGAAAGTGGAAACTAAAGTCAAGGGTTTTTGTCTTTTTTTATATTTAATATATATAAATCAAAATAAATTTTGAATATATATATATATATTCTTAACGGGTTAACGGATTATCCGTTAAGAAAATTGAATAATCCGCCCCAAACCGATAAGCCGTTAATAAAAAAATCTCAATCCGTTCTCCGTCCGTTAAGCCGTTAACCCCGTTACCAGTAAACCATTAAGCTTCGGCTCGGTTCGGTTTTCGGTTTCGGATCGGTTTTGAACACCCCTAATCTAAGGTCAAATTCCCAATCAAAATTCGAATTCTAGGTGTAAGAACTTTCTTTCAATTTTTCCCCAATTTTCACCTCTAATCCGAAATTAAATGACAAAACTAACAATAGATTAATGAAATACAACTAGAAAGGGTTAAGGAATTGTTACCCAATGATTTCCTCTTCAAATTCCTCCCAAAATCGCCCTCTCCCGAACTCCAATTTGATTTTTCCAAGTTTTGAACTAAATCCTCGAAATTTCATTTTTCTACCCAGCGATTACCGCATCTGCGGTCAAGGGAGCGCATCTGCGGTCCCGCACCTGCAGAAGAAGGCATCGCAGGTGCGAAAATCACTTAACGGGCTAGGTCCTCTTCTGCAGTCGCTTGGCCGCATCTGCGATACCGCATTTGCGAAAATCCAGCCGCACCTGCGGTCCTGGAGCTTTGGCCCAAACTCGCTTCTGCGGCCACCTAGCCACTTCTGCGGTGCCGCACCTGTGGTCCCACACAAGCAGGTGCGGTTATGACAGGTTCAGCAATTCAAATTCTTCCTAAGTCCAATTCAATTTCCGTTAAGCAGCCGAAACTCATCCGAGGCCCCCGGGACCTCAACCAACCATGCATGCCAACCAATCATAAAATATCATTCAAACTTGTTCCAACCTTCGTAACACTCAAAACAACATCAAAACACCAATTTAGCATCGGATTCAAGCCTAAGAACTTCAAAAACTCTCAAAATACGCTTTTGATCAAAACGTCTATCAAACATCGTCCGAATAACCTGAAATTTTATAGACACGTCACATTCATCACTACGGAGCTACTTCAACTTCTGGAATTTCATTCCGACCCTCGGATAAAAAATCTCACTCTCGAACCAGAAACTTCCAAAAATTTAACTTTCAGCATTTCAAGCCTAAATTAACTACGAGCCTCCAAAACACAATCCGGACACATTCCTAAACCCGAAATCACCCAACGAAGCTAACGGAACCATCAGAATTCCATTCCAAGACCGTCTTCACACTGTTCCGACTACGGTCAAATTTCTAGAACTTAAGCTCTCATTTAGGGACTAAGTGTCCCAAAACTCTACGAATCTCCAAATAATTCCTCCCGGCAACTCACAATAGCAGAAACAAACACGTGGAAAACAGCTGATAGGGGATCAGGGCATTAATTCTTAAGACGACCGGCCGGCTCGTCAGAAATTCAAAACAAACACAATTTCAATCCATAGACTAGAAAGATTATGTAACTAGAACAAGTCGAGTATCATATCATGATACGGGAAAAAAATTGTATTGGGAAAGTAAGGTAGAAATGAAACTTTCGTTATATGTAAACTGTTAAATTCCCTTATCATAAGAAAAAAATTAATTTGGTAATAAATGAGATTCAAAAATTACTTTAGATCTTAAGTTCAAATCCAACGGGTGATGCTCTAGTATTTTTCTGAATATCATTGTAATATGAATTTCTAGCTTCGCTACCAATTACATTCGGGGCTAGTATATATACTCACTGGCAAAAGGAAATGTTGAAGCCTATTATACGCAAACAAAAGGAAAAAAAATACTTGCTAGTATATACAACCATACTTTTTTTTTCCTTTCAACCAAACTAGCTTATAGCTTTGTGCCAATTATAAATGTTCTCTGGTTTAGCTAAAAAAAAACTTGAAATTATCGGTCAGTTTTTACACTTCTCATGTAAGATATCACTAATAAAATGTCCTATATTATCAAAAATATAGTTGGATAAAAACGCAACTCGATAATTGAAGGGCATAGAAGGAACTATCACTGTCAAGTATATTAAACCACATTTGTAATGTGTTCTTTATAAAGACAAAATAATTGATGAATAAAAACATTTTATAGGGGACCATAGCTCTTTTACTTTTGGTAGTATCCCTTTTGTATTTTTCTATTACACTAAGTATTATTTTTCCTTCTGTCTTTTTCTTTAATTATTTTCTAATGCAGCGTATACATCTTTATGGTACAATAATGTGTGGTGGCCAAACCCTTTAAATAGTGATAAAAACGTGTATTTACCAACCAACAGAAAAAGAGTGTACGGTAGCTGTTGATAAAAACGTTGATTTACAAACAATAAAAAAGGGGCGTAGAAGCGAAATAAGGATTTCATCTTATGGGTTCTGAATTTTAGGACTCGTTTGGGGTTTGTCCATAGATTTTTTTCCTTTTTTCCGGTTGTTTTTTTCAAAAACATGTTTATCCATGAAATTTTATAAGTTTTTGGAGATTTTTAAAAAATGAGCATGTGCAAACATAATTTCAAATTCCTAATGTTTTTTCAACTTAAATACAAATATTATTTCCTTTCAAAAATTACAATTTTTATGTCCACATGCCTACTTAAAATAACGATTTCAAGTGTTAACAATAACAAGGTTCTACATTAAATATTGACACATATTGAATGAATTTGTTAATATCAAATACACTGTTTGAATAAAAGCTACTGAGTTCGATCGAGCCCAGTACAGTGGTGGTTGAAAGAATAAATAACTCACGTAAATTAGGTACTAACTCTCTATAAATATCCCGTGGCATCAGTGAGTTTTAACACGATACAATTTGGATTTTCTTTCTTTGTATTTTTCAAAGCAAAGGCAATGGAGCGGAAGACTATGGTCAAGTTATCTCATGTGGTTGCTTTCTTGCTTCTTGCATCCCGTACGTTAGCCCTTTCTCATGCACATTTCTACTTATTTTTATTTTATTTCAAATATTGAAAAGCAGAACTTATTACCTATATTATCTTTCAAAAAAGTAATTATTTTTGTGAATTATTTATTTTAATTACAGTTTTTCAACCTCTTACGGCACGAGATCTGATATTCGAAGTGAGTGATGAAATAGAAGTCTTGCGATTTCCAATGGCAAAAGAAAACCAAGTGAAAACACTTGATGATGTCTCTAAACCCTTTATTTGCCCAGGTTTGTTCTATACTCTTTCTTTTTTTAGTTAAAAATAACAACAATAACTAATTTTGAGTCTCAAATAACCTGATTACGATTGTATGATGAATCCTCATTGATAATGTTACACTAATTAATTAAACTCATTTCGTTCCAATAGTATGTAAATACAAATAATATTATCCCCTAGTTTCAAAGCTATTGTATTTTTTAAAGTTATTAGTAAGGATTTAAATTATATATACTTATAGCGTAAAGATTTTTTGTGTTATCAATGTAGTTTAACATCTGACAGAAAGTTAGTTATCAATTTTAATAGGTTGACTCTTATTAATGTTTATTATATATAGAGAATTACTTGTACTTATTTTACAAGTGATCACTTGATTGTTCAAATATTTTTTTCATCTATTAGTACAACGTAAACTCTCTTAATAATATTTTAAAATAAAACACGAGCTAGGGAAAATAGTAGTTTATGT